TTTATCATTCTTGTAAAATGTAAAATTTCATCTAATTTAGTTTAATTGACTATTTACAGATAATGATTTTAATTGGTCTAATTATTTTTCCAATCAAAATGAAAATATTAACTACATTTACCAAGACTCTAGTTATTGGATATTGATTATTTTTTCACTAACATTTCAACATTGAGTGTTTCTGTAATACATTAATTAAAAAAACCGTTATATTTTTAATAGATCATACAGAATATACCTCTATTGACTCTATCATCATACACTTCTTTTAAAAATAAGTATGTTTATTTTTAGTATAATGCACTTAAGTAGCGATAAATAGATTACTACATTTAAATTACTTTATATTGTACAAAATAAAACACCCAAACCTATAATTATTAAACAGACGAGTTTTTGGGGTTTTGATCTATTAAAAACTCGTTTTATATTGAACAATCGTTACTTAATTGTTTACCAAGTATAATATTATAAAATATTTTCCGAAAAATGGTACCTATTATTATTTTAATTTCAATAGTACCATTTAAAAAAATATATATTCAATCGTGTTTAATTAATATAAGTAATAATATATAATTAACACTGAAAAATGTCGTGTTTATTTTTATAATATTTTTTTAATTAAGTACAATTTCATAAATGTTATGTACATTAATAAGACTATTATTTACTCGAACGCAAGAGTATTATATGTGCATTATAAGTTAGAAACAAATGAAATTCTTTTTAAGAGCTAAGGTACTTAAAACAAGTTTTTGAAGTATAAAATGAACATCTTGCAATCTCATTGTAGGTTTCTTTATATTAACCTTATAGTAAAATTAAAAAACATGGTTGCCCACATTGTATTTTGAATATAAAAAATTCACAGCAAAAATGTGTATTCTAATTCATATTTTCTCATTGTGGAAAGTTAACTTTAAATTGTATCTATAAGATAAGGAATATAATTTTTATACGGTCATATAGGTGAAACACTAAAAACATGAAACATTTACATTAAATGTGAGTAAATGAAACTAGGTATAACTATTTGGATATAAAATCAAAATATGCATTTATATACTATAGAATATATATTTCAAACTTTTTGATTTACTATAGCATGCAATGAAACTGTTTTGTTAATTTGATGCATTATAAAACGTACTTTTCACACATTTATCTTTGTATATATTTTATATTATACTATGTAAATTAGTTAAACAGATGTTATATTTAAATATAATTTCTATACAATACATGGTTTCAGTAAAAAAAAAAAGTTAATTATATGTACTAGTATAACATATGTTTTTAGATTTTATTGTTAAAAGATCTCAGGGTTATAAATCGTATTTTCGAGAAAACAAAAACACTACCCATTTAAACTACTAAGATAGTTGTTCCCAATTACGGTACCGGCTGTACCTAACATGAAACATTCTCCTTAGACCTCCCTGTAGAAATGTGTGGATTAATGTTAAGGATTAACGCTGTTTTCATTGCTTGTTATTATTTATTTATACAAATAATAATATAACATTTAATTGGTACTTAATAGTTAATAGCTTTTTTTTTAAATATTTTAGTTAGAACATTGTTTTATATTTTAACGATAAACTACTATATAATTTCACATTTATGTTAAAATGTTGACGAACTTATAAAGTATAATATGTAAGTTTAAATAAAACAATAAACAAGCAATGAAATAAAAATAAAAATTAGGAATTACAAAGTATTTATAAGCAAAAATATCAAATGATAATTATGTATATACATAACTATTAACAAGTAAGTGTAAAAAAATGTATTGTCAATCATTCTGATCGAAAGAATAAATGTATTGATCATGGGTTAATGTGTGTTTTTTCAATACCTGTAAACATTTTATTTTGATTTTCATAAATGAGAGTAGTTTTTGCTAGAAAATTTGATCAAATTTAAGAGGTAAGTCAAAAATACTTAAAAGTAAGCTTAATATTCGGGAAGAATAAAACAAAATTTTTTTTAAACTATATTTTTTAATATTTCTTATCTTTATAATTGCTTAAACTTTTTACTTTTTTGAAAGACAACATAGACTTTTAATTTAAAAACAAAATGTTCTTTTCGAATGAATGTAATTAACATTCTACTAATAATTGGAGAAAAGTGACTATTATTTTAGAGAATTATACACGAACGTGTTAACACGAGAAACATTCAAGGGTATTTAACTCAATAATTCAAAACAGATTGTTTATAGAAGTAACTTGTAGAGCCAAAACACATCATTAATAGCTACCAGCTGTGTTATGCGCAACAAAATATACGGTAAAGAAACTTTTTTGTACGCTTCCAAAAAGAACGGCGTTTATTTTTAATAGTGTATACCACGGTTTCGGTCCCCGCCCGTGATGTGGTATTGAAAACATCTGCCAAAATTTGCTTCATAGTGCATTCTACTTCGATTTTTTCAGGTGTCACATTTAATGCAATGTTTGGCAGTGAAAAACATCGTTTTACTGCAGGAACGGCGACATTGGGGTTCGCCATATCCAGTTTGGACGGTCCTTCGTCAAGTTTATCAGAAACCTCTGCAACAATGGTGATTGGCAATATGTAGGAGGTGCGTTCGAAATCGGTTGCAGTGAGACGGGTTCGGGCTCAATTGAATCACCATCACCGCGAGATGTCATCATGTTGATGATTGGCATAGAACTATAATATCGCTTAGTTATTAAACTTAAAAGTTCATGGCTTTCCAAGACATTCGGAGTCTGACCATTTGGCGGTTCATCGGAAAAGGGTTGTATCGATGCCTCAGTGATTTTGTCGTCGGTCGTAATATTTTTCATGATGTATTTATAAATATATTTTTGATAATTAATGTTAAAAGAATCATATAAATTATTCGATGTGCTCTTTGAAATAATACTGAAAACAGTGAGATGGATATGGATATTTTGTAAACAACACTATATGGTAGACAATATAGCAACAACAGATTTTTAATTGTTTATTTATTTATGAGTTACACTAACCGTATAATCAAATATTTTTGTTTGATGCCTTTTATTAGATAGGCAATTTAATAATAAAATTGTTGTGTTTAAAAATTATTTTTGTAAATAGAACACCATTTTCTGTAAAATTTTTTAAAATTAACCTTTGACAAAATATCCATATTATGTTTACAGACTAATATTTATTTTAGTATGATAAGGTCGGAGTGTCTTACATCACCTGCCATCGATGTTGTTTAAATATAATACTAATATAATCTTATAAAAATCCATATTAACCGATAAGAATTTAAAAAAATATATTATATTATAATAGAACGCTTGTTGTTTTAAAAAAATAAAATATATATATACACTAGATTACAAGAAGATGCAAATATGTGCATTGTAAACAATATACTAGGTACATGTTTCTAATAAATACTTTAGTATAGAGGTATACAGATAATATAGGTACTGTACTATTGTAGGCTATGGAAAAAATAATCAATAGTCGTGTAATTATCAGTATAGAATATTCAAAGTTGTATAATAATAATTAACAATACTTCAATAAGTATCAAGTAGTTTATTATTTTAAATAATTGAATAATCACAATAATATTAAAGATAGTAAACCCAAATAATTACATTCACTAAAAAATGAAAAAAATCTTTTAAATGCATTTTAAAATTTATATAATACATAGCAAATAGTAAATACTAATGTTCAGAATGATTTTAAATAAAATGAAAATAACGTTGACATGTTTACGAATCTTTAATCCTTTATTACTGTTTATAGTTTAAAAATGATTCAAATCTAAAATTTGTAAATGATAAAGATTTTATATTATGTATTTTTAATAGGAATACCTATATAAGTTTTATTATTTAATTTTTAAGAAATTTTCAAACAAGATTATTTAATTATTTCAATTATAACAGAACTATTAAATATTAATGATTATTATTATAATACGTCTATTTTAGATTCGACGTGGAGCGTAAATGCATTGGTTTTAATGACGTGATGATGTGATTTATTGAGAATGTATATACATTATAAATAATAAGTATTCGAAAAAAAGTGGTTTGATTTTGAACATTGGTGACAGTTTTGGATAGAAAATTAGATCTAGTTCATATTTTTAAGTAATAAAAATTAAAAGTTCCCATTATTTTTTAAAATAATTGAGAAAAATAAACAAATTTAAGGAAAAACGAAAATTTTTACGCAAAATCGTTTTTATTTTTATGCATAACTTTGAGACGAATAATCTTAGATACTTAAAATTCCCATAGTACGTTTAGCTTAAATTTTCTACATATAGAATAATATTTCAAATATTTTGAACCTATTTAAGACATTTAAAATTTAAATTTTTTATTTTTTTCTCTAAAATTTCAATTTACTTTTTTTGAAATTTTTTATACTAATTATTTTTCAAGTATACAGCCATAATTTAGTTCATTTAAATTACATTTATTAACATTGCACAAAATTTATTAAAAATTTCATTTCATGGTGTATATAAATAAATTTATATTATTAAGCATAACAACAGATTATAATATTATACTAACTATATTTAAATACTAAAAAGTAATAAGTATTAATCATAGTTACATATTTTAGTCTTAATATTTATTAATAAATTAAAAAAAAAAAAACAATATTTAATTATAGTAATTTTACATGGATATATACTTATTAGTTATTTTACTAAAATTAAAAGTAAAAGCATGAAGTGTATTATAAGAAAAAAAAAATTGTCATAAATTCATACAATTACATAACAGGTAATAACATATTAAAAACATAGTTTATAAAGTTTACACAAGCATATGTGATTATGGAATATTCATAATATTATGTATAGACAATAATAATAAAGGATACAAGCGTATAAGAATTTGTAAATTTGTAAAATTTCTTATTAATGACATCCATTATATATTATATTTGGGCGTAGTGCATAATTATATAATTTCGTTCAAGTATATCTTAATTGTTATTTACAACAACTAGTTTATGCCATAAAACATAATATATTTTCATCAATAAGTTTATAATCACCGAACATACATAATTTACCGTTGGTGACATAACTATTCTTAAACTTAACATAATATCACGACTTCAATTTATATATATATATTAATTAATACATATTTTATAATATAATATTATTATTATTATTGTGTATAGTATACGGGATCATAGTAGGTATTTTAATGTTATACTCTCCCGTTCAACACGAACGACTTCCTGTTATGACAACACTACTTACAATTAATACCGTATTATCATAATATCTGCAGTGTAATACATTTTTTAGTGCAGACTAGGATAAAGAATATTACATATTGTATATTTATAAAAAGATTCGATCGGAACGAGACATACGCATCGAATGTTTTGTTTACAACATTATAGTCAAATCTTCGTTGTAACGTGCTTGTCGATTCTCGCAACAATAAAAAAATAAACTGACTATGTACAGAGATCCCTTCTTATATTTTGTATTATATTAATAATTATAAATTATGATGTGCGCCACCGTCGCCACCGCCATCTCCCGGAACCGTTCCGAGATCTTTGTCACGTTCTCGCCGTTTATCGGTTACGGTGCGTCGAGCGATACCATCCCTGGAGTTGGCACAAGACTTTGCAGGGACAAGTATCTAGACCGGTCGGATACCTCGACGTTGGTGATGTGCTCAAAACAGCACGGTTGTGATATGTGTGACTTGTCTGGGAGCCGGCGAACTGGGGCCGGCCTGGGTTTCTGTTTCCGTGCGCTTTTTGACCGGTTACCGGGGCCGGACAACCGGATATTCTCCGGATCGGAAGTAAGCCGATCGATGTGCGACCACAGCTGCTGGGCGGCTTCCGAACAGTCGAAGCTCAACCCTATCAACTGGGTGTGGTCGGTCGACAAGCACATGGTGTGGAATCCTTGGCTGGAGACCTTGTACGAAGTCAAGTTGTCGATTGTGTCCCGCCATAGAGCGAAACACGTGCCGCGCTCCACGAGAAGTATCTGTATGCGTGGCTTGTCCCTGGACCTGGTCTCTCCACTGTCGTACAGCACTACCGGGATCCCGGTGAACTTTAAGTCCCAACTGCCCTCTGGAGAAGAATTGTGCACGTACAAGTTGGCCATCGATCCACACACGTACACCTGTAACGATTTTCGACGACATTATAATGCGTATAATATACTATACTATGCATTTTACAATTTTGGCATGATGTAATGGCTTTGTACATGATAATGGAGGGGGGATATATATTTTTTGGACTTTGGTTGTTTGCATTTTATCGGTAAAGGTTTGTAATTTGAGAGAACGTAATTACAAAGCCTAAGTGTTAATAACAATATACTCGTATTATTATTTATTATCATGATAAACAATTACTTTGGTGTAAACTGTGTTGCCTATGCGGGCCGCCTGGATCACAGATGTAATTATTTATTTTATCAGTATTTATTTGCTTAAGTGCCATTTAAATTATTCAACATCAATCATACTATGAATGTGTAATTAATAAATGTATTCATATAAACTTGCATGTTAATGTGATCATGAATTGCTATTACGTATTTACATTTTTGGTAATATTGAACGCAATGTTATAACGGTGATTTAGTGTAACCACGTCATTATTGCATTCTTATGAGCACATAACGATTCTTCTCTCTCTTATTATGTGTATTACTTAATTTTGTATAAATTAGGTTTATTTGGATTTAATTAATAGATTGTTTATTTAGGTTAATAAAATTACAGTTTTGAATTATTATGTTAATTTAAAAAAATTAGTAAATAATAACCTAATCTTCAAAAATATTACATTATTATATTATAATAAGTATTGATAATTATACTGTTTTAATGAAATTGGTTAACTAGAGAAGTTATTTTTTGTAGGTTTTATATCTTATGATTTATTTTAGTAAATACTCAAAAACTACTGCTAAACTAATAATATACTTGTATTTAATAATTATATAAGTTTTTGCATAATAACATATTTTTTATACGTTAATACATTTAAACTTTTATAATATAATATTAATAAATTATAATTATTCGCTATAGTTCTAAACTATTTTGAAGTCATTTATGATTTTTATTTTAACGAGACATATATCACTTAACGGTATTATAGTGATACCATAAATTAGAAATAAAACAATATATCAGATATATTAATTTGAGTATCATTAGTTTTTTCTTTGTTTATTAATGGCTAAAATAAAATGTCATGATTAACAATACCTTTGTTTAGTTCACTTTAGTTTTTATAGCTACACATAATAATTAATCGATTATAGTTTATATTCTACACTTTATATTTTAATGACAACTTTGTCTCGGTATTTTGTAATTAATCACATAATGGAATACATAGAAACATAACTATAATGATAATTGACGTTACATATAATTAAATTAGCAACAAATGGTTGTAAGAATAATTAAACATTCATTTTATAAAATATCATATGAAATATTATAACACTACAATTCAGTAACTTTTTGTATCTACACTCTACCTATGCGACCTTACCGGTTACCACACGCATCGTGCAATGTGTTATCTATTATAGACTTGTAACCGTACACTATAATTGTACTCGTGTAATATTATAAATCTAGTAGATAATGCCTATTATTTTATAAATTTATGATGTTATTAAGGGATTTAGTTCGATTACACTCAATACACTAAGAATAACGACTAGCACTTGAGTCATTATCCTTCGAAATTAATTCTATAAACATTTGACACGTATAATCCTGACGTATCGAGTTTTTCATTAGAATACTTAATCTCAAACTGACTTTGAATGGTTTGCATAAACATACTCGACATAACTATTACGCGCTATATTATATCCGATTATAATACTCGTACAATCTTGTTTGTTTCAATTTAAATATATATTTTATAATATATTCACATAAAATAATTTAATAAGAAATTCAGTTAGATTTCATATTGTATATATGTTTTAAGAAAATAAATTATTATAAGTTAAACTAAAAAATCTTGTTTGGAAACTAGCAAGTTTGTATCGATATTATTTTTAAATGATTATTACATAGCAAATATGTGTAACATAAGTAATTGGTAAGCATAAATTTGAATGTTCGACTAAAAATATTAGTTACTTTTATAGACTCTAGTCTTATATTAAACACTAACTTCCATTTGAAAAATAATTTTTTAATAGATATATGACCGTTATAGTAATTTTTAATATAGTTTAATCAAAAATGCGTGTTTAATTACATTAAAATGAATATTTGACGTTGGTATCTCATATAATCATTTCAGTCATCTGCTGTATTACAGTTACATGTGTAGTGTAAACATTTTTTTTTTTTTTTTTTAATTTGGTTATTACTATGAGTTTTCTAAGTGAAAATAAATTGTTAATTATAAGCCTTTCTATTGTCTTCCAGAAAAGGAAAAAATTTAACAGTATAGTAAGTATTATATTTTTAGTCGAAAATATATTTATAAAAATATTATTCTTGTCTTTATTATATTAATATACAATTTTATAAAAATTTAATAATCATAAAAACCTAACTGAAAATATTTTTCACTTGAACAAATTATTGAAATTTAATATGTACTATACTAGGCTCGTAGATACCTGTGTTTTTAAGCCTTTATAACAGGATTGCACTTGAAGTTGATCTTTATCTGAAAGTTCAGCACTCTCTACACTGCTAGCACTACTGCTGCTGCTACTGCTGCTGCTGCTACTGCTACTACTGCTGCTACTTATTCCCATGTGTGAATCCATATTTTCCGAAAAATTACCACGGAGGATCTGTTTTTGATCTTGTCTGTCCACGTTAATCAATGAACAAGCTGCATAGCCTGATGAAATTGAACTTGGGGACACTGCAACGCCAGGTGACATGTTTAGATCCTAGAAAAATACGAAATATACATTAATCTCACAGAATGTCCATTTAACAGTGTAACAAGTATTCTAACGCTGTAATATAGAAAACAATGAGGCATATTTATATTTTATCTTTTAAGCCATATATTCTTAACTTTTTCTGGTTTATAGACCTCTTTGATGTATAAAATATAATCACGAACCTCCACCAAATATATATAAATTAATTACATTTTTATTTTTATTATTTTTTAATGATAAATCTAATACGTAATACTACTAATAATTAAAACTATATTAAATTATTGTGAATAATCACTTTTTATTAAAGTCAAAAACAATTTTTAATGTGACATTTGCTGTTGTTTTGATTGTAATATTGCCTTGAAAAAACATTGTTATTTTTCAAGTGGCAGAATGTGGGAAAGAAATTATTATTGTTATCTTAAAAACACTATTGAAACAAATTTATTTTTGAGTTATAAAAAAAAAAATCACAGCCACTCCGTGAACCCCCCAGTAATCATTTACAGACATCTAATGAGTCCATGGAATCCCGGTTAAGAACCTATATGTTCTAATAGACAATATTAGGTCTTATTATATTGCAGGTATACGAATGCATTATGCGTAGTAAATAAGTGGTAATTACATTTTTGCCAATCAATCTTTCTTATTGGGCTTGTTTTTGTTTTTGTCACATAACCACTGGGTATTAAATATATTACGTTTTGTATTAACACCTTTTTTTACAACTTTATATTACGATAATGATAGCGGTCAATACATTTAGAGAATATATATTTCCAACGTGCTTACTTTACGTGTAAGTAAAAAATGAATTTTCAATTAGCGAGAAATGTAGTGGAAATAAAATACTTAGATACGTGAAACAAATAAAAAAACAAGTTCAATTAAGGCGACTTATTCTCCTCTATCTCGCTCAAGCAAACTGGTCACAAACTCAAAAGAATGCAGTCATTCGAGTAAATAAAATTATAAACATTACAGCGGACCAAATGCACAACGTTCATATAATAACGGTATGATGATGTATTATAGATGTTGAAACGGAATTATTATGATGAGAATGTAATGTTCATTTCATATAACTTAAGTAATGGCAGTGATGAGCTCCATGACGTTATATATTGCAATGTCATAGGTCATAATAGCGTGTCAAATATATTGTAATATGTGTACGCAATGTGTGAATGTACACAAATGACAAGTGACAACGGTGTATTATAAATATTATGCAATGCATTTTATAGACTCGTGGAAAATTTATTTAAATCGGAAACATTTGATGACTTGTTTATAATTATTTATTAGGTAATAAACATACTTATTTTTTATCAAACATCAACTCACGGTTAGGAGTCCACTGGTCGATGATTTAATTTCTAACTCATAACGGTAAAAATTTTAATGTATATTTCTCGAAATGTTATGAAAAACAGTAACGGGATCATTTTTAAATCACTTGCATACATAAATAATAATCCCAGAAATAGCTCACATTGTTAATATATATATATATAATATTCAATTATAAATACTGCAGCTGCGGTAAAACATACCGTATAATATCATATAGCATAAGTTGTGTACCGAAATCGACAAAGATTAGTAGAATGTTGTTAAAAACGATTTGGCGTGAAATTCGACTTACGAGCGATAATATACGTTGTTCGAAATGTAGAACGTCTTAAGGTGGACAACGACAATTGTATACGTGCGCGGATCTCAATAACAGAGAAATTCGGACAACACGGGCTACACGCAGAGAACCTAGTGTGATTGTACGTCATGTGTTTTTTCTTGACGTACGTAATATACTATACGTGTTCCCGCTCGTTAAATCTATCAATTGCGCAGCGTGTAATAGGAAAATAATATCGTTCTTTCCAATGTGACAAACTCGATTTCAATGCGACCAAAACACAAACTGATATCATAATAACGGTGGCCCGACGCAGGAAGCATGTCCGATCATAGCTTAAAAAAATATATGAAGTGCGTGCGTTTGATAACACATAAAAAATAAACAAATTTACAATTTATTTCCCGGGACCAGGTCGTACCTACCATAATGCCGGTACTGCGTGATGATTATAATATATAAAAACAATAAAAATATAAATACACGAATACTATATATACCAGGGATGGTTAAACTGTGGTTCGTTGCTCATATAATAATGTAAGACGGTATATTATTATACAAAACACTATTGCTATATAAAATAAATAAATGTTTATGTTATTACTTATTATCATTTTTCATGTTTTACACATTTTATTACATTTAATCTCCAATCTATAATTATAATTAATGACAATCTAGGTAATTATATGTGCTATTTTACGATTGTTGAAAACTTTTTTTCTTTTTGCTCTCGACTCTCGCATAATTTTCATTTTGTTCAGATCCTTCTCGATAACCACCTCTCCTATTACATACATTAAATGCAAGACACTGCACAATCGCGAATCATCGATGACTCATAACTTGACACTTAAACTGCAGCTTTAAACAACTTTTCTACATTCAAAATACTCGTCAAATCATGAGTGCCAACGTGAAAAAACTTAAATTGCATCTTTAAAAACTGTCAACTAGAAATATTCAATTTCAATAGGTATATTTTCGTATCCCGACCAAAAGTATACCTGCTTACATCAAGTTACAACAGCAGCTACCTGTTTTTAAGTATAATCCTGCGATAAAATGAATTAATGTACTCTGTTTATGTCTTATGTATTGTTTTAGGTAGATCGTTAAGATTTTTGATAGAACTAGGTTCCTCTTTACACCACTATCAACACCATAGCATTGTTTCAATATACCATATTATTGTTGTCACCTTGTCGAGTACATTCATAACAATATGTATTTCACTATATATTTATGACATACCATAATAATAATACACCTACTATAATAGTCATATAAATTAACATAATATAAGCAAGTATTGGTTATTTTTAAAAAGTGACTAACCATTAGTAAACATAAAATGTAGTAAGCTTTAAGAAAAGCCAATTAATAATAAAAACTGTTTTTAAAACAACTTATTAGTATATTAATATGTTTTAGGGTTTTTAAAGGGGAGAGGTGGAATTTTATATCATAACTATAAATAACTATCAAAATATTAAAAGATTTTTATAACAATTTGACACAATCCGGCGGCCAATTTTGGCTTATGCAGGTCTACTTTTCTAAACTATTCACACCTACTTATTACCAATAAAAAAATTGTATTCTTCTCATTTGAGACCGCCAGAGTTGAACGTATAACTTTTGTATAATTATCTTCTACTACCTAGTGCGAAAGAAAATAAAAAATTATTATTTTGTCACATTCACGTTACTCGAACTGGGTAGGTGACCCTGAGTGAACATTTTTTATACAATAAATTGAAACGTTTATTTTTTGCACTGGTGGTAAGAGAAATCATGGTCAACACATTTTTCCGCTGTTTAAACGTCGTCAATATCCATCATACAATTTCATGTAGTTTTTCTCTTCTAGTTCGCCGTGGTGATGTATGTTGAGTACAATTGCGGTTTTGACGCACGCGTCACTTTTAAATAACACATACGCGTATATTATAATGTACAACAACTACGTTTATTTTTAAATATAATAATACATCACCAGTAAAATGTCCACCAAATCAATATATAACCAGTATAGGTATTTACCTATGGTATGCCAATAATTACATAAATCGGTTGAATGATTGAATTCGTTTTAACGATAAAATAGTCTAACAGCTGGCGATGAATTAACATTTTGACCTTTACATTATAATAATATGTGAACCAATTTTTGTGGCGGGATTTAATGTGATGTACAATAATGGTTCAACAAACGTTACGCAGTACACGTCGGAAGCGTGTTAAATAGTAAATATGACACGAACCGATTTGAAAATATTTCAATGATTGAATAATGATTCAGATAACATCCTATTATATATATATATTATCCAGATAATATATTATGTACTCATACATAGACACATAGTGCAATAATACTTAAATCGTGTCGATATTGTTATTGACGTATCGCGATTTATTGAAATTACGTAAGTCAGTAAGTGTCAATATGAGTCATCGCAACATTTGTGTGAAAAGACAATTCAGACCGCAAATTCAATTAATTATTGGCACGTGTGAATTGGATTTGATGTGTTTATTTGTAGGGCATTATCAACGCGCCCCGGATGTGATGGTCGTGAGATCTAACCTCGAACATCTAATTAAATTTATTGATATTGTTAAAAAAAGTAATAATAATAAAAACAACAAACGAGAAGACTACAATGATTACGAACTTGACCGTCAATTAACGGGTTTCATGTTTATTTACAAAGCGCTACGATGCGCACCAATATGTTGCACGTGCGACCAACCAAAAACTAGGCCGATTCCTGTAAATTTTTATCTCGTAGTTGTATAAATCATTTATGGCCGACGACTATGATAATTATTATCATTATGATATAATTTCGAAAACAGTCGGACAGGTTTCGGTTCGATAATTGTTATTCGTATGTATGTGCATACAACCACTGCAGGCACGTTTACCGTTTTTATTTTTATTATTATTATTATTATTATTATTATTATTCTCTAGACGTTCTAAAATATAATAATAAAAATGATAAAAAAATATTCGTAGAATTTTCTTTTTTTGACGACGGACGAAGGCGTTGAGACAATAAAAATGCAGCGCACAACAATATTAATATGTTGGAAATAAAGCAAATAATAATAATAATAAAAAAAAAAAAAAAAACGTTCACAGCAATAAATACATATAATGTTCCGAGAATCTGTGACCGATATTATTTTACTATTATTTTATAATAGTCGTGTTTGTATGTATATAGCTCGGGTGTATAATATTATTATTATTATATCGTACCTATACGTTGCAGTCGATCCCGTTTCGTTGAACGATCTATTTGGACAAGATGCATTTTCAATTCGGTACGCAAAAATCGTC